GGGGCTGGGCGCTGCGGACCTGCTCGTCCACGCTGCTGGTCCTTGCCAGACCTTCTCGTTGATTCCAAGATCGTAGTTGCGTAACGTCGCATCTATATAGAGCCGCCTCCAAAACTCCGCCCGCAGCACCCAAAGGCGACCAGGACGCCACGCCGCGGCGGCCGCATCGCCACGCCTGTCGACCGTGCCATTGCTGCACTCGATTACAGGGTTAGAGAGCGCAAAAGTCTTCTCCGCGACGCGCTTGATTTTCGGTAAAAGCAGGCATCGGGGCCACCGGTTAAGCGGCGCCACTGCACCTCATCACCCCATCATCGCCCCCCGCCCGGCACGCGCGCCTTGGTGCGCATTGCTCCCTTCAGGTCCGGGGGCGGGGGGCGCCGACCAGGGGTGGGGGCGGGGGATCCGCGCTCTCTGGATTCATTCTGGCATCTGGAACATTCGCCCGGGCCATCACGAGAGGCTAATGGCGAGACTAGGTGGAAGCCGCCCCCCCCCCCCCCCTCCCCTCAACCCGTCTCCTCGGGAAGTTTTCCTCGAGCACGCCGCCGTCGTCGTAATGTTTTGTCCCGGGCCGGTCGTACACACACCGAGGTACACGACGTCGAGGCGAGGGCGGCGCTCCGCGCGGACCGGTCGCGGCCCCGGTGCACTGGAGCGTCAAGCACTGTACTCCACAAGACCGGCCGCCGAACCCCTCCCCGCCCGGCCCCTCACCCGGCCCGGCCCGGCGGCCCGGCCCGACTAGGCCCGGGGCTCGCGATAACGTTTGACCGGAGTGGCTCAGCTCTCGTCCCATGGTGGAGCGGACGACTCTGTGACTCCGCAAGGACGCTCTGGTTGGCAGAGGGCACATTGCATAAGACCCCCCCTCCCTACTCCTCCGCCTTCCCCCCGGCTCAATCTCAGCCACCGCGCGGCTCTCTCGGCTCTCTCACACTCTCACGTCGCATCGCCTTCCCGCCCGGCCAATTATGTCATTACCCCGAGTCCAGCGGCTGCTGAGCCGGGGGCCGCGCGCTGGGCCGCGGCCGGCCGGGTTTACGGGACCAACCCGCCAACGCCCCACCGCTGGACGCGTGGCTGTTATCAGAGTTGTCGCCGAGAATAACCGCGCGCGGGGGGATGCTTTCTCCAGCTTTCTCCTACTTATAGTGAGCGCCCCTGGCGTGGGGGTGTCAAATGGTGCCCAACTATAATCAGCTGTCAGTTTTTCACGAAATGCTGTGTGGACAAAAGACGATGAGTGCACGCGAAAAAGGGATTATAGCTGAGACAGCAAATGCATTACCTGGATTCGTGATAGGTAATAATATTAGCTGGGCCAGCTAACTTTCTCGTTATGGCGGCTAAGGTCATACCACCCGTAGTGGCTGGTCAGTACCTCGGATGGCGGCGAATAAGTCAGCTGCGACAGCTAACTTTACTACCTATCACGTCTCCAGCTAATCTCTTGTTTGCGTGTGTAGTTGTCGGCAGCGCAGTGCGGGCCCCATGAATACGGCTGGCTGAACTCAAAAATATACACACTCCGTTTGTTTTGTTGCAATAATGTTGTTTGTCGCGCAGTGAGCCATCGCGGCGAGCTAATGTGAAGTGGCGGGGCCGTCGTGCGGCAACACTTGAGGCGACCCGCAAGCTGTGAGAATCCCGCATGCTGTTTATGACGTGTTCTCTTCGGCCGCGCCCATTCAGCCACTCCAGGAGCTGTTATCGCCGCATGAATTGGATGGGAGAGTGAAGAATGGGCGGCGACGGGCGAAGGGAAGAGGGAAGTTCCCCGCGCAGGGCCGGGCCGGGCCGCACTGCTTGCCTTTCGTCCTTTCCGCCGTCCAATCAGGACGAGGGCGAGTGGGATGTGACTCAGTCCGTCCTTGCCCCGCGGGCCATATCCTCCTCCTCCTCCCCCCCCCTCCTTCCACCACCGCCCCTTCTGTTTCACGCGGTCACGTAAGTTGCATTAGGTTGTGGTCGCGACGGAACAACAAAGAAAACGGTACGGGGATTACCGGAAGGTAATGGCCAGGAGCTCGGTGTGGCGCCTCGCACCTCCGCCTCCTCCCCGGCCCCCGCCCCCCGCACCGCGAGCGCGCGTCACACATGGTGCGGGAGGGCGAAAGGGACACCGCAGGGACCCGCCGGCCGGAAAAGACGGTGACCAGCAGAAAATCGCAAAGTTATGGGCAAACCATTAAAGATAAACGCCAATCACGAGTTCGAGCACATAAACTGCTATCTATGGCGTTAGAGAGTGCGTCCGTCATTTTCCCCCTGCCAGCTCTCATAGCGCCTGGTAGGTAGGCAACATCTCGCCAGTGGCGCATGCGTGTACAGCGGGGTGGCCTACCCCGAGTCTCGCAGGCGTCCAGCCTCCGTTGATGCACCAAACGAATGTGAGAAAAACCGACGTACCGGGTGATTCAGAGAGACGCAGGTGCACGCGGGTTTGCCTAACCGCTCTGCCCGTAAGGCGCCATAGTCCCTTGGGTGGGTAGGCCACGATGCGGCGTGGATAGGTGGGTAGCCAGGTGGTTCCGCTGCCGGCCGACAGACGTCCAGGTCCAGCCGACGCCGGGCCAGGCGCCGCCCCTCGTAAGGACGAGATGTTTCCCGAACACGACTTGGCGGCGCGCATAGGCCTGCGCGCAGGGGCCGCCACATTAAGCCAATTTGAGTCAAACCACGTCAATTTGGAACAAGCGCGCGCTTCGCTGGACCGCTATGGCCCCGGCTGGGCCCTCTGGGCCGGCCTGTCCCCGCCGAGGAAGTGCGTGTCAGCTGGCGGCGCGGCGTGGCGTGGTGTAGCAAGTTGCGGGAGCAGCGGCCGCTGCCCGGGCCCCGGCTCGACGTGGGTGTGAGAGAATGGGAGCGACGGAGAGAAGTGAAGGAAGGATTTGCGCGGGGAGGTGCGGGCGAGCGAGAGAGGGAGGCGGGCAGGGCCGGGGAGTGAGTGGACCACCTGTGCCAGTGCAGCGCGCGGGCAGGCACCGCAGGGCGGGGCGGGGCGAGGTGGGTACAGGCACACCCACAGTGGCGGGGCGGGCGGAGGGGCGGCCTTGATCACGAGCGGTGACTTTTAATTGCCATTCGCCGAGATGAAAAGGTGCACGCCGGCGCGGCCCGTTTGGGCTTCCCTGTGGTGCGGCGTGCGGCGCGGTGCGGGGTGCGGCGGGCGGGTGAGGCGCGCTACGGCGGGCGCGGGGCGACCGTCTGGCCGGAAGGCAACGAATGAGGAATAGTTCGGCAGCGGTGTCGTGTGTACCTATCCGCCATCCGGGCCGGGGGGGCTACACAGCCACCAGCCACCACCCTTCCTTCGGACGAATAATCTACGGATTACTGTGAATACAACGCGGGATTACAGCTTACGGCGCTGCCCCTGTGGACCGGCGGGAGGGCGGTGGTGGTATTAGCGGCCCCTCATGCGCCTGTTTATTACATGAGTATCCACGGCGCATGGCCTGGTTGACTCATATGTCATGACCAAAGAGGTCTCCCTTGGCGTTGCCAAATGGTGCCTCTCGCCAAAGGAAATTGATAAAAAATAAAATGAATGGCAAAAGCCATTTTTTGTGCGCTCGTGCCCAGGTGGCATGCCGTACAGCCGCGCAGGACCCAGGAAGACCCACTGCTTGCTTTACAGAGCGGCAGTAGGTTGGGCAAAATACATCATCACCTCGCCGCCGAAGTGGGTGAAAAGCGAGGCGTCTCCTCTACCACTGGACCCTGGACCCGTTCTTGGCCCTGCAGCGCAACGGGTGCACCAGGAGGCACCAGCGGGCACCGTGAGCGGAGCGGTTGCGCGGCGGAAGGCTACCGACTCCATAATCCTTTCGCGTGCGGAAGAGAGTGCGTCCCGCCTGCGACGACGCTCGCCGCCCACCCACCCCGCGCCCGCCACGCCCAGCCGCGTCAACGCCACGAACGCGCCGTGCCGTTTTGTTCTGCGAATCGAATTAAAAACTTCCCGCCGGAAAAGCTCGCGACCGGCGTGCCTTACGGCGGCGTACGGCCCGTGCGTGCGCATGCAGGTGAGGTGCCCCGGTCCGGTCACCGCCCCTGCCCAAGGAAATAAGAGGAAGGGGGGGCCTTCCTACAGCGGCCGCCCTCTTCCGCGCCGTGTGATGATTTGTCAATCCTTATAAGTCGTTTACTAGATTGTTGGGAATATTTCACCGGAGACAATTACCCATGCACACATCTCGATTCAATCACCAACGCGGGGTTTCCTCGGGTGATTACCCCGCGCAGCTCCCCGCCCCGGCGCGGCGGCAGCGGCGGACCTTGCCCGGGGGGTGGGTGGGCGAGCTGCCGGGGAGGGGAAGAGAGGGAGGAGGGAGGGAGTGAGGAAGAGGAGGAAGAGGGGGTGAGGGGGCTGGCCCAGGCCGAGCGCGGAGCGGGCGCGAGCAGGCCAATAACCACTCGACAAGCATTTGCATTTTCCTCTCTGCCGCCGGCGGGTCCTCTAGCTCCTCTCGATACCCAATACTGGACACTTTTCCCCCCTTTTCCTCTACGTCGCACTTCGCCGTAATGGAGGCCTACTCACGGTGCGCTCCCCGGCGTGCTTTGGCCACATCCGCGTGTACGGGGATCACACACTGTGCGGTAAGAGTACGTGCCGGATGTAGGGACTCCTTAGTGCACGACCGGGCCTGGATAGAGTCTTGTCGCGGTGACCAATCACCCCCCCCCCCCCCCACACACACAGCAGGTCCCATCCAAAAGTAGTTTTTCTTGTCATCGGTTCACGGAAAGCCGCGGTACTTTTTTCTGGTTTGGCTGATCTGTCAGCAGCCCGGGCGCGCCCGCCCACCCACTCGGCCGTGCTGCGCGATGGGTTGCCTGCCTCAGCGGCGCTACATCGGTCATATCAGCGCGGGAGGCGATAGGGGAAAAAAACCATACGCCCGTCGCGTAGCCCACGAGCATCCCCGGAAGGGATCTTATCTCTCGTGCACTAAAATGACGATCCTTCGTCAAACAATGGCGCCAAAGAAGCTCGTGGCGGACGCAGTTCACATGCGGTAATGGGGAGTGCACGCTGTCCGCGGCCGTCCCGCCGCCTCCTGTGCGTGCTGCTGGTGCTGGCCGCGGCCGTGCCGGTGGTGCTCCACCTGCGGTCACCACCCCCGCGGCACCGCGACCACCTGGGCGCGCCCGCGCTGCGCCCGGTCCAGGCGGTGCACACAAACCGACAGCTTCACCAGCAGGTGAAGACTCCGCCCCCGGATGGCGGGCACGACAGGGCGAAGCAGGCCTGGGTCGTCGACACAGAGGGCTGCCGCATCCCACACCTGGACGCCAACAGCAGCGAGGTGGCCCCCTTCGTGGCCGACTACGAGCTGGGAGCCTGCGACGACCCGCCGCCCCTGGTGCGCTCCACCGACACGACCCTGTTCGTGGACTCCGAGGCGCTGGCTGCCTACGGCGTGCGCTCGCCCTCCGAGCTGCGCTGCTGCTACACCCCGATGTGGAGGGTGCGGCCCAACGTGACGGTGGCCGACTGGCGCCCCGGCCTCACGCTGCCGCCCCCGCACCTCCGCAAGGGCCCCCTCTACGACGGGGTGTCCTACGGCAACGACATTCGGTCGGTAACGCAGCTCTCGGCGAGCTCTTCGATCCGTCCCGGTCGCCGCCACTCTCTCTTGAACACGGGCCTGTTCTCGTGCCCCGCAGGTTTGGCGAGAGGTGCGAGCCCTTCTTCAAGCCCACGGTAGTCGCGCACGAGTTCGTCCGCGCCAACTGCGCCGTGTTCCCAGCGGGCAAGGGGGTCAGCCGCCACGTCGACTACCACGCCTTCGTGCCGGTGAAGGCCCCACGCGGCCACAAGGGTGGAGTCGGGGACGCGCGGCTGGCCGTGTCGGACAACAGCCTCAACGTCTTGATCGTGGGCGTGGACTCTGTTTCGAGGCTCAACTTCATCCGCACGATGCCGAAGACGCGTGCCTTCCTGGAGCAGCACCTCGGGTTGCAGGGCATGCTGGGCTACAACAAGGTGGAGGACAACACCTTCCCGAACCTGATCCCCCTGCTGTCGGGGATGAGCGTGCCCGAGCTCCGGAAGGCATGTTGGGGGGACGCAGAGGGAAGCACCAACAATGCGCACTTCGACGCCTGCCCCTGGATATGGAAGCGCTTCAACGAGGAGGGGTACGTCAACATGTTCTCGGAGGACACGTCGTGGATGGGGCTGTTCCACTACTACAAGAAGGGCTTCATTCAACAGCCCACGGACTACGACCCCCGCCCGCTGCTGTTCCGCGGCGAGACCGACCTCGCCCGCAAGAAGAACCACGCCGGCACGCCCGTGTGCGTGGGCCAGCGCTACGCGCTGGACGTGCTGTTCGACTACGGCCTGAAGTTCGCGAGCGTGATGCGGCGCCAGAGGAGGAAGTTCTTTGGCATCGTGTGGGGCACGTCGCTGTCGCACGACAGCGTCAACTCGCCGGTCGCGGCCGACGAGATGTACGCGCGTTTCCTCGCCGACCTGGAGGCCACGGGCGTGCTCAACAACACGGCCCTGGTGTTCATGAGCGACCACGGCCTGCGCTTCGGCGATATCCTCACGACGAGACAGGGACGCCTGGAGGAGAAGCTGCCCCTCATGTACGTCTCACTGCCCGGCTGGGTACTGGAAAGGTAAGTGTATGTCAGTGATGAGGGCAGCTGTAAGCTGCTTGCAGAAACGTCAAAACGATACCGTTGCGAAATGGTCGTAGACATGAGGGAAGGTGAAAGGGGGGGGGGCTCTGCAACCCCAATCCACGTCCTTGATGAAACGCCTGATGGGTGGGCAATTTTCTTGACAATTCGCCAAACACACGGGTCGCGAAGTGACACCGCCTTCGCAAGCAACTGACTACTGTGTCCTTTTATTTAATACCCCACATCGAAGTTTGGCGCGCGCCACGCCCGTGGTCCCTCCCTGGCTAACCCGTTACTCATCCCACAGGTACCCGCAAGCGGCGCGCAACCTGCATCGTAACAAAGACAGGCTGGTGACCGTGTACGACCTGCACGTCACTATGCACGACCTGATGCATTTGTCCTCTTTGGAGACTCCGAGACAAGTGTCGCGGCCCTATCCGCGAGGGCTGAGCATGTTCACGCCGATACCCCCCGAGCGGACCTGTGATGCGGCGGGCATCCCGAAGCACTACTGCGCCTGCCAGGAATACGACGACGCGCCCACAGATGAACACAGGTCAGCACCAATCCTAATAAACGATTACGCTAATAAATATTTTGAGGATTATCGAGACGTGAGTTGTACATGTTATGCATGGTTGAGCAGAGTGACCCAGGTGGCCGAGTTTCTTCTGGCTGAGGTCAACGCTCAGCTCCAGGCCAGCCCTCTCCGCAAGGCCTGCTGGCAGCTGAGCCTGGACGCCGTTCAGGACGTCCGCGGCGGGCCCCTGAGGACCCGGGGCGGGGCCGTGGCCCTGGAGCACGTGTACGAGCTGGTGGTCAGGGCCCGACCCGGCGGCGCACTGCTGTCCGCAACAGTCGTGTACCGGTTGGGCACCGCCACAATGAAGCTGGACGGCACCGTGAGCCGCATCGATCACTACGGGGCCCAGGGGTGGTGCATGACTGACTTCAAACTAAAAATGTTTTGCCACTGCAAGCGGTCATTGCCAACCGCAGACTCGGATATAATACAAACATTTTGATTTTCATTACAATAGGTATCTCAATACAGATGCCTAAATTTGTGTTAATGGCCATCTAAGTCTAACATAAGACAAGTGAAAAGTTTGTTCATAACATGACAAGCTGCCAAATTGCAGATAACAGTAGATGCAATTTTTAGTTTGCTCCTAGCTACTACTATTAACCTCGTGAGTCACCATCTTATCTATGGATAATTTTGGTCATTCATAATTTTAAAATAATAATGTCAATTCAATACTTGAAATGTATCAAGTCTCAATAACTCTTCAACACTCAATTCTGGATATTTTGATCAGTGGTCATAACGTAAAAATTTCAAAGTAATGGATAAAATATATTAATCCCTCATCAGGGTTAGCTGCATATGATGCAATGAAGATTTCAGTCAATGATAAATTATTAGCAATCAAGGGTGCAATATGAAGTTGCAGGAATGTTCAAATTAAACAAGATCTTAGGATTTTTTTTATTTTTTTATTTAAGAGGAAGTCCTAAGTTAGATCCTTGAGGGGTACAACATCTGGAACAAACAAAAACAGAATTAATAAAATATCAATTGAGTCAATTTAAATATCCTCACTAGGACGTTTCGCAACTAAGCAGAATATGCACACAAGAGGCTACAATCTTGACCCAACCAATATAATGGTCAAGCATCAAACTCTGAATCTACCAAATCTCATGTAATAAAATTAAGCTCAGATCATGAGTTATTGAAGAGGCCTGTCACTGCCTCACTCTCCAAAGATTCTCAAAATTTAACGAGTCTCCCACACCAAACTCAATCAAAAATTGAGGTTACACATTTAAATGCAAAGGAGTAATAAGAGGCTACAGCTCATGACAAGTGCAAAATACTCACAATTCTAATGCCCTTTCCAATGGCAGTAGCTGGCAGATTTGAGGTGAACTTGGCGCGCACACTACCACGGCAACCATGGGGTCGGGTGATCTTGCCCCAGATAGCACGGACACGAGTCTTCAGCTTGGTCTTGCCGGGGACTGAAGTCTTGTTCTTAGCCTGAAGAAATTGAATCAAATTCATAATCCTTCTTCCAGAAAAGACTCACAATAAGCAACTTGTTAGATGCAAAAACACATACCCTGTAGACGAAAACAACCTTCTTGCCAACATAGAAGTTAACATTTTCCTTGCTGACACAACCTTCAACCTTGAGAAGTGCAGTGTTCTCATGCTGGTTTCTTAACCCGCGTTTGTACCCAGTGAAGGTAGCCTTGGCATAGAGGCGACCAAACCTCTTCAGATGAGGTTTCTGGAACACAGATGCTTTTTAGTAGACAAATATGGTAATAACTAAGTACAGGGAATATTCAAAGAAAGGAAGAGTACCTTGACTGTAGCATCACCCTTTGGTGTCTTCCTCTTCTCGATGAGCTTCTTCTGCCAATCAAACTTCACGGTCTTAGTCATGTTGACTGCAGGTTAACCCTACCAAACAAATAATACAAATGATAAGAGACAAATAAATGAACCATAGCGAAAGGTGCCTGCGATAGACTAGCGGCTCAAATTTAATATAGAACTAGTAACTAACAATACATGAGGGGAAATAACAAAATTACTAAGCAGGACACGTCAAACCTAACCTATCACATGTAGTGTTTTAGTTTCCAAGCCGCAGTTATTGAGATAACTAGCCGGGTCAAAATGAGAATGAGTACTAAAAAATATGTCGGTAAGTATTCATGATGAATTTAAACCGCTCCATATGAACACAAACACTAAACTGATTGCATTATCAACATATCATGCCTGAAGCGGCAGATAATCGGCTTCATGTATCCGTCAACATCCTAGGTACTAAGTGACGAAATTTGAAAGTTTCTACCCCGTTAAATACTTCAGACCCGACAGAATAAACGAAATTAAAACCTTCCAGAATTTAACATGAAATACGGAACAGATTATTACCGAAATACGCACGCCACAAGCACACGACTTACCGGAAGTTTACGGACCTGAAAAGAACAGATCGGCGCCTTGTGTGGAAACTTGTAAGTGTTCCGTGGGTTTCTTTGTGTCCTTGTTCTTCTTTCTTTATATGGCGAAAGGATGAAAACCACATACTCGACTTATGACGGTGGTCATCTCTGCTTGACAGCCGCGCCGGTTATAAACAAAGATTTACGCGGGAATCGCGATTGAACAACATTTGACTTTGACTTGATGTAATCTATTTTATGTTTGGAACATTACAATGAATTGAATTCAATAATCATAACCGTATATTTTTTAAACAATAATAGTTTTTTGTCAATTTTATAAAGATATGTTAGTGACTTTTATTATGTCTCTGCTAAGATAAATGTTAAGCTGCTGTTTATGTAGACAGTTTAACCTAAACTTTCTACAACCTATCAAAACTTTCAGATAAATATCTGCTGTCAACATGGATTTTGAATTCGCAATTCCGTTGAGCATTGATGATCTTCTTCACAATGAATCACCCTTATATGTTGTTCAAGAAGTTGCGTCTTTGAGAGAGCTTCGAGTGAAGATAGAATGTATGTTTTCTTTCATTTTCTTACCTATTTTTCACAGAGTTTTTCACGATTTTAACACATTATGTATTTTAGTGAGTGGTCGTGCCCTTACTCAGGATGGATGTTTCTTTATTCTTGAGCATTTTGACACACTTTACTCCCATTTGGTTCAGTGCAAAGAGCTGGATGTTAGAGATTTGGTTGCTGTGCTTCATCAGGCCCTGGGCGGTAAAATGATGATTGATCCTTTTTTCTACGTTACTTATTCTTGATTCCAGCATGAAATTGATTATTTTCGTCAAATACAGGTGTTGAAAATATGGTGAGCTGTTTCCCAGGTCTCATTACAGATGATATGGATGCTGACCAGCGAAAAAAAATGCTTAATGTTGCCAAAATGAACATGTTTATATTTTGTTATGCATTCCGCATTGTTGAGGATAAAAGAATGGGAAAGGATATGCTTTTTGATATCAAGGTAATGTTTAATACTCTTTAATTGCATTATTAGTGTATGCTTTTTATTAAATTAAATATACTCAAAGTCTCAGCTAATTTATACATGTTAATCTCTCTTGCAGGGTCGGAAGAAAACCGCAAAGTCTGTTGAACACTTTGGATGGGATGAAGATAGAAATCGTGTGCTTTTTGCTTTATACGCCTTTGTTCAAATACCAATTCAGAAGTTATGGAATCCACCTGTTGTTGATGAGGAGTTTGTCAGGTAAACAGTATAAATTTCATCAAGCTTGACAAACCTGTATGTCTGTCTTATAATCATTCTTTTTCAGCCTAGTGTCCAACATATGCTATAAAGTGTTGGAGGATCCAGGAATCAGTTCTGTGAAGTTGAAGCCCATGAGAGAGTCGATCTTTCAAATTTTGGGCACTCTTGTCTCACGCTTTCAGCATGGTTTGAGTTGTACTGTGAAAATAGTGCAGGTAGGTCACAGTTTACACACACACACACACACATTGTCTCACGCTTTCAGCATGGTTTGAGTTGTACTGTGAAAATAGTGCAGGTAGGTCACAGTTTTCAATGTGATACATTAGTGAATGAATGAAACAATCATGTCAAGAATTATATCTTACGTTTCCATATTTCTCTCTATTTTCAGCTCCTCAAAATCTATGAACATCTCTGCACTCCTCTCGCTGAATGTGTTATAGCTCTTGTTCAAGATTATGGATGCCGGGGATTTTTGCGTGAAGTTGTTCGAGAAATTAGTGAATCAGAGTCTATATATGATTCAAATGGAGCCAAAACATTTTCTCTGTTTTTGACTGAGATCGGCAAGAATGCATCTGATCTTGTTTTGCCAATCATGAGTTTTTTATTACCACACTTGGAAAGTGATGTAAGCCTTCACATCTGTTTAATTTGATTCATTTTGTTGTTTTGTTGTACTATTTGAAGAAATGCCTGCTCTATTTTATTATTCTAGCCATATACTATGCGCAATTGTGTGCTTGAAATCATGGGAGAAGTCCTTGTTCAAATTCTTAGTTCTGAAACTATGAATGAAGAGCTGCGTGAGACACGAAATATATTTCTTGATCATCTTCATGATCATCTACTTGACACTAATGCATATGTACGCTCCAAGGTAAGTGCTTCATACCTACTTGGATTTGTCTTTTGAAACTTATGGTCTTTTTAAAATCATATTGTGGTTCCTGCAGTCATTGAAAGTATGGCAGCGACTGGCTCAAGAGAAATCTATCCCAATTTCAAGTTTTGGGAGTCTTCTGAAGGACGTTGTTGAAAGGCTACATGACAGTAGTTGGACTGTTGTGAGATCAGCTGTGCAATTGGTCAAAAGCATTCTTGAGAACAATCCATTTGGAGCCAAAGTAATATTATACCAAAAACATTTTATCACACATGTGTCTCAATAGTGTTAAATATAAAGCTGTCAATTAATTAACTTTCAGATGGATCTGAACACAGTAAGAGAGAAATTAGCAATTGAGGAAGCAACCTTGGCCAAGTTACAAGAAGAATCTTGCAACATGGAAAATATGACCCGAGCACAGAGATGGGAGGTTCTTGTGCCATCTATTACACTATTTGTTGAGGAGGCGTTACAGTCAGACAGTGCAAACAAAGAATCTAGTGATCAGAATGAAGAAGAAGCAAATGACATGAACGAAGTAGAAATGATGAAAACACTGAAAGAAATAAGAGAATGTATTGATAAAAAAGAGTTTGAAAAAGCTATGAAGTTAGTACGGAGAACTGAAAAAATGTTCCCTGGTGCAAGTGAACTCAGGCAAGTCAAGCTTCAATTATCAACGATTTATCCAAAAAACTATAGTTTTTCGTTGTGTCACCTGAGTTATTATGATTTTTATCTAATCTATACTTTCATTATTCATACTAGTGGTATTACCTGTACTGATGAAAATTTCTTATTTTAAATGCAGAGAGGATAAACGTCTTGAATGGCAGGTTGACTATTTTATAAAATTAATCAAGAAAATTTATATTGAAATGAGTGAGGAAGCAAATGATGAGGACAAAGAAAATGTGAATAATGATGAGGAAGAAAAAAAGAAGGAGTCCAATAAAAAGAGCAAGAAACGAAGATTACAAAACTTGCACCAATGTGAAGATGAAATGAAAGTAGAAGAACCAGAATCTGTCCAGAAGGCTGCAATTCAAACCAGGGTGGTCCAATACATAAAAGTAAAAGAAATCTTCTCTTGTTACTCATTTCTATTGCTAAAATCTTAATTCATAATTTTAACTACAATAAATGTTTTATTTTAGGATTGTGTAACATTTGCTGAGGAAATTGAGAAAGCTATCACTGTGATCTCATCACTTCTACACTGTGGACAAATACATGTGGTTCAGGACACAATTGAATTTTTGACCACTGCATCAATGTTTGGATTTGATCAGTCAAACACAGGGATAAAGCAAATGTTATTACTCTTGTGGAGTAGTGAAGCAAGTGTGAAGGAAGCGGTTGCTTTATCTTACAAAACTCTTTATCTGGATATTCAGCCTGAAATTCCAAGGTATGTCATTCTAAAGTGCTCTCCATTACTTGAAAATTTGCTTACTCCAACATAACTTTGATTACTAATGATTATATACCTAATAATTACTTTTTTGAAGTGGTCGAGCCCAGGCAATAGAAATTGTACGCAATTTGTCTAAGCTTCTAAGCACTCTGGACCAGAATGAGAGAGCAGCCCTAGAAATTTTAGTCACAGAATGGGTTTCATCTGGAGCTCTTGACAAGCCTTGTATACAGGTAAATACATAAACATTGAGCTGTCTTTTGACAACTTTTGTAATCCATAATCAATCTCAACCTTCTTTTTTTGTAGGTCATGTGGGAAAGATTTTCTTTGGCTTTGAAAGACACAACCCCTGAGGAGAGCCAATGGGCCCTCCAGCTTTTGACCATGGTTGCTGCGTAAGTTGAAATTTAAAACAGCATACTACATCGCAATTTACATAGTTTCAGGATCAATCTTTCTTTTTTTTTTTTTAGATCTAAAATCCAAATTGTGCAGACGAATATTGATGTGCTAGTAAAAGTTGGTCTAAGTGAAAGAGGACAAAGACAGAGTCTTATCATTCAAGACACTTGTAAGGCTCTTTTAAAACTTGTTCCTAGTGGTAGAGTAACCTCAGATGATGAACCGTTGAGGTAACTAATTTATTTTCTTCTTTTTACTTTACATATCTAATTTTGTCTACATAGGAACCATAATTAAACTTTTTGCAAAGGTACCCCCAAGATCACATAATGTTCCAGACCCTCTTGGAAATTATTAAGGATGGATTCACATCTATTGAAGATAAACACTATGAGAGGATGGCTGAAGAAGCCTTGGATGTTATTTACATGGTATTGTAGTCAGAAATTGTTAAAATAAAAAATCCTAGTTTTAGAATCAACTTACTACAAGGTCATCATAAGTTTTTGTCTTGTTAAATATTTAGCTCTCAGAGAATCCAGATGTGACATGTGAAAATCTCTTGAAGTATATAATGGATCAAGTTTGCGTGAAATCAAGTGATGGTATGTATTTTACAGGTGTAATGTAAGTTGAGATAAATACTTAAAAATTAATTGTATAGCTTGTGAGACAACTTTGGTATGTATAATTTGCTTAGTGGCTACAAAAGTTTATGGCTCAATGCTTACGCCAGAAGAATATGTTTAAGAATTTTAATGAGATTCTATTTGACTAGGTTTAAACCCCAAAGTTTGCATAGCCTCACATATTTACTATTTGGCTTGAAAATTAAAAGCATGTTGTGACTAGTTTCGTATTTGATTGTATGTATGTGGTATTTATCTTAGGTGAATCAAGTGACTCGCAAGAGCTCTCTTGTCGTGCTGAGATTGTTGCAAGATTAGTTTTCTTCATTGGTCATATTGCCTACAGGTGTGGTTAACAATCATAATTATTGTAGATACCTCTACATTTACATCACAATGATTTACAAGTCGTTCTCTTCATTCACAGGCAATGGGTACACCTTGACAAATTTGTATTCCGTGAACTGAAACGGCGGAACCGACTGCGTGAAAAATTTGCGGAAGAATCTAACGATCTAAAAGCAAAAGCAGCTAGTTTAAAAACCAAAAAGAAAAAAGGGAAAGACAAAAATGATGTTAATGAGTCTGTTTTACAAAACTCAGTCCTTTCTGCTTCCCACATTTTATTGGAAAAACAGGTGCAATATGAAGTACACATGTTTTGTTACTCAGAGATACACCTTTTCAATCCCTATCATTTATTCTCATGTTTCTTTGCCTCTGTTGCTAGGAACCTGATGACGGTATTGGTGGTGATATTGCTGCTGATGATGCTGAAGCAGAATATATAAACAGTGTTTGTGAATCAGAGATTGTCACTGGGCAATCTTTGCTTGGCCAACTGAGGTAATGCTATCACTTAATGGTAGTTAACTAACAAATGTGCTATTTGTCTTTATTATGTCTCTGACTACTTTAATATTTCTCCAGTTCAATTGTTGTTTCTGTGTGTGCCAATCCTCATAAGTACACAGATATTAAACTGCAGGCCACTGCAAGTTTATCTCTAACTAAATTGATGTTAGTGTCCTCAGACTTTTGTGAGAGACATCTGCAGGTAAGATAATTGAATCACTTAATTTCTTTCATGATTCATGACATGATGAATATTTTATTGGCGTATTTTTATCCACTTGCAGTTGGCATTTACCATGATGGAGAAATCTGTTGTTCCTCAAATCCGTTCAAATTTGGTTTATGCAATGGGTGATCTTGCTAATCGGTTCCCAAATCTGATTGAGCCATGGACCAAACATTTCTATTCCAGGTGAGTATCTGTGATTGCTAGGTTTATTGACAATGCTTTTAAAAAATGTCCAGTAAAACAGTTTTAACAAATTTTGAAATTTAAACAAACCTTACAGGCTGGGTGACAAGTCTTCCCAGGTTCGTCAAGATACAATTTTGGTCCTAAAGCATCTGATAACTAATGAAATGGTTAAAGTGAGAGGGCAAATATCTGATCTAGCTCTTTGTATTGTTGATCCTGAACCTCAAATTTCATGTAAGTGTTGGATCATTAGATTAATTACTTTTTTTTAGGCAACTCAAAAACCAACTTGATACTACACAGTATCTTGTTTTATTTAAATATGTACAAGGTTTTCTAAAATATTTGTTATGCATACTTTACCAGGTATGGCAAGTTCATTATTTGAAGAACTCTCCAAGAAGGGTAATACTTTGTACAATGTTATGCCTGACATAATTTCAAGATTATCGAATCCAAGTGCTGAGGTTGAGGAAGAGAAATTCCAGACTATTATGAAGTAAGTTTTTTACTTTCGTAAAATGTTATCGGGTTATCAAATTTACAATAATTAGCATGATTTGTCTTTTAGGTTCCTCATGCAACTCATTCAGAAAGATCGACAAATGGAGTCTTTAGTTGATAAATTATGTCAGAGGTTCAGGGCCTCCACACATGAAAGACAATGGTGTGATCTAGCTTATTGTCTATCACTGTTGCAATATTCCGACCGTTCATTGCGGCGACTGCTTGAAAATTTGCCTTGCTATGGGGAGAAATTAACTGTACCAATGATCTATGATACATTCAATGACATTTTGTACCAAGCAGGAAAAACTCAGAAGCCTGAGCGTTTGGTAAGTTATGAGTCATTTCCCTTTGTTTACTTTCTGTGACCTATGCAATGTGTACTGTAGTATTTGTTTTTACAGCAAATAGTTGAAGAGTTGAAATCAAAAATAAGTGAGTGCCTTCAGAAAGGTCTTCCTGAAGGAGATGCCACTAGGTTTGAGTCTGGTACAGCTGATAGCCAAAGCCAAGATTCTGATGGTAGTGATGGTAAAAAGAGGTTGCCAGCCCGAACTCCTCGAAGAACACAGAAGATAGGGACTCGAACACCTGCAAGTGAGTGAATATACACTTTGCACAACTTTACTTCTTATTTGCCATTATCGCTCATTCTACAATGCTCTTTTACTTAGCTGTGCGAGGGCGAGGTAGAGGAAGAGGGCAGGGCAGAGGCCAAAACAGCAGAAGACGTAACACAAGGGTCTCTAGCTCATCAGAACAGTCATCTTCAGAGAGTGATGATGAAGATGGTTAGTACTCTGCTCTGCTATATTTTCTAATCTGGAACATTAAAATGAAGACATTCTGATGTTCTTTGAAACCATCAACAATTTTTATGTCACACTTTAAAAAATTTGTGCCTTATTTCAATACTTTACATAAATATGAAAGTGTTTCAAAAACATATTTTGCACTGGGTAAGACTCATGTAGACTTCATGTAATTTTTACTTACTTTGTGATTCTTTTCAGTGTTTACAAAAAAGACAGCACGAAACAGAAGAGGACGTCGATGAAGTTTTTTATTTTACTTTTTTAATCAGTAGTTAAAATTATATATTATGGGTACATGTTTAAATGATGTAGATTTAGGAAATAATTTCTTTAACACAGTTTTACCACATTTTTTCTTGATTGTGATATAAACCTATATCGTGTCATATTTCCTGTGTAATAAATTGCCAACACGTAACATATTGCATCTCATTGACCTGCCGCCTACAAAAACAGCGTGTGGCAAAGTCCGCGCCGTTTCAGTCCTGTTGGTCACCCACGCGATGTATTCAGGCACGCTCCCATTTTCTCTCTCTCTCTCTTTGCAACCATGACTAATTGAGAAATCTCCACCGTCCTCAGCCGGATATGCTACTTCCAGAAGACGTCGAAAGTTGGTCAAGGTCCAAATATACGTCGATATGGTCCGAAAAAAGTCCTAGACTAACTAGACGTTTTGTAGGTGTACCATCTCTGTCTGGTTGGGGTTGGGTTGCAGCACTATGAACAATGAGGTTGTAATACTAGTTGTTACTAGTTTTACTATACGTCGCAGTGCGGTCGCGCGGGCTCAACAAGTCCGCCACTGTACAGGGTGATGGTCCAGAGACCCCTTCCTTTGTGTTGCTTATACTTTACCGCCTGCACACGTGAGGGCGAGTTGCATAGTCACACGGGGCCAGATGGCGCGGTGGTGACCAACGGTAGGCAAGCCAGCGTGCAGCGCGGTACAGTACGAGTAAAATAAAGGAAGGGATCTATGGACCACCCTGAGAAGTTAGACCTGCCTGAGAGAAAGACAAGCCCGCCTTTACCGCTACAGCGCGAGGCGGTCACGAGAGTCACAATGATGCGGTGAAGCCCATCAAGTATCACTGGCCGAAAAAAGAAAACACCTCAAGGTTGATTATCAGTGGCGGTTTAAGTTTTAAGTGAGGAGGTCCCCCTCTCCGTCAGCCTGAGATAGGGCTCCTAAAAGCAGGCAACATGCTCCTCTGCAGAGGAAAACCAGGCAACACCCCCTGACCTGTTAGGATATTAGAGCTACCAGGTGGATGATTTACCCCGCTCATTTATGTAGTTATGCTGTACCGAAATGTGCTGGCGGGCTTGCCTCTACTATAGCGCCTTACGGGCCGAGCGAGTAGGCAATCCGCCCGCTCTCGTGCGTGCGGTACAGTATAACTACATGGTATTCGGGATCAATCATCCACCTGGTATTTGCACATCGCCTGGCGTTGAGGTCACCGGCTGGTACGGGTATCACCCCACGCTCCCTCATCCTCACCCCAAGTTCAAGGTGGGCGGCCACCGCAGCTCCGTCAGAGCGCAGGGTAGGTCGACTGGCCTACATGCTGGGGGGAGTGGGTGCCAATCATCTCTACCAACAAGGCGCCTGTCTTATTGCTCCGACCGCATCCATCCCCATCCTCATCCTTGTGGTGCTGTCCCCCGAAGCAAACCAAAACAAAGGTGTGTCTTCAATCTCAGCTCGCTTGTTGTTGCCCCTAAAGTTTGTACTGCAAGACTGTCTCTCTTCTGCAGGTGCTGCTGCTGCTGCTGCTGCGCTGCGCGGGGGGCGGGGCAGTGGGCCTCCTCCCGGGCCGACCGCCTGGTCCGGCCTTATCACACACTCCCCATGGCGGGCGGGCCGGGCCAGCCTGGCCGGCGAGGAGGAGGGCCGCCGCCGCCGCGCCACGCCGCGCCACGCGCGGCCCGCCACCAATGCCCGGGCCGGGAGCGCGCACGCGGCGCACGCGGGCACGCGGCAGCGGCGGCAGCGGCGGCGCGGCTCTGAGCTCTGAGCAGCCATCGCGGCCCGCGGCCCGACCCGACCCGGCCCGGCCCGGCCCCACCGCCAGCCTCGGCGGTCCATGCCAGTCCACTCCGCGCGGAGGGCCAGGCAAGCCGCTAGCCAGCCGCTGCGCGAGGTCCACAAGTGCGAGCTCCACAAGTGCGAGCTCCACACACTCCAGGACCCGCGTATACGGCGCCGTGCGATAGTGTGGTCCGCGTCTTATCACGGGAGCTCCCCTGCCGCACAGCCAGCTGTCTGCACTTATCACCGATCATTCTATCAGCGTGCGAGTGTAAGTGTGTGTGTGTGAGTGTGATGCTGCCCTGGAAGCTGCTTATCAGGTGTTCGGGGGCGTGGCGGAGCGTGGCCGCGCCGGGGCGGGGCGGGAGCATGCCGCGCAGTCTCCCGCCGGCCCACGAGGAGTGACGACCACTCGCGCTCCGCGGTCCTGCCCGTTCCGTCTCGCCAGGCCACGCCACGCCACGCCCCCGCGGGAATGGCTGCCGAGCGCGCCGCCACATCGTAACGACCGCTGTGTGTGTGTGTGTGTTCCAGGGGTGACTTTTGCACACAAGTGAAGAGTGCTCGACAGATCCGCTGGCCGGGACTTCCCTCCGGTGCGCCATGTCCGCGGAGTACCTCCACACGTCAGGTGGGTCCTATGTTCCTGCGACGCGGCAGGTGAGGGCATGATGCTGTGCGCTCGAGAGCATAAGCAACTTTGGTGTGTCTGCGACCGTCTAACTAAAGAAAGAAAAAGTGCCAGCCTAAAAAAAAACGGGGGATTTTTTTTTCACTGCTGCTTCGGCAAGTAGCGTAAGCCAGAGGCGGTCGGCCGCTCCACGCTGCGCCACGCTACCGCCCGTGGCACTGGCACTGCCTACGTTCCGTAGCGCTGGCTTCCTCAGGCGATATCCAAGCGGATACACAAACGCTCGCGCGCGCGATCACACACACACACACACACACACACACACACACACAAGTGGTTGCTCTTTCTGTGTCGCGGAGCCCATGCATGGCCCGCTGCGTGGAGTGGCCCAGTAGCGCGCTCGTGCAACTGGGCGTGTTTGCGAAATTGGCGCAGACCTGTGTTCCGATCTGTTGCCGGAGTTCGCATTCTGACCCGTTGAGTCACTGCAACCTAGACCCGCGCGTTGTGAGGGTTGTGAGAGATACTGCCACTGGCCCGAGGGGAAAGTGCTGAGACGTTCGTCATTACCTATCTTTGCGTTTAAAGCGGCGAGTCGCGAGTCGTTTGTTGCGAGGGAATGCCTTGGAACGACTCCCAATCCCAAGTCACCCCGCTGTTTTCCACAAACGGTCGCGAGGGGTGGCCCGCCCACCGTCGCCTGCGCCCTCTCCTGCGCCCGACCGCCTTCACCACGACCCCCCGGCGGTGACTTTCCAAAAAGTCTCCAAAGGGCGCTGGGCATGTTCACACAGCAGTGGTGACAGAGCGGCGGGGGCGGGGCGGGCACGCTGCCGGTCCAAACAGGCCTGCACAACACAACACGCGCTCGCCCCTGACAGCCCAGGGGACTGGCTGTTTACCCTCCGCCGTTGGCGGACAATGCGCTGCCACAATGGGAGTCCCTGGAGCTGGAGCCTCGCTCGGGCTGAGCTGGTCGACTTTGCCCGGGATTAGAGGCGGGGGCCGCGGGCTTGTTATTCACGGGGAGAAGGGCTGGGCCGGGCCCGGCCTGTTATCGGGGCCGGTGCCCTGTCCGCTCGGTGCCCGTCCAGTCCGGCCTGTAGTCCAGCCCGGTGGTGGCCAGCCGGGCGCCGCTCCGCTGGACCCTGAGTCAGAGCGCTTTGCCTCGCTCCGGGTCTCTGTGGAGGCGAGCAGCTCGCAGCCTTATTATCCACCCCCAAGTGACTCCCGCCGCCCCCCGGCCAACCGTGACCCCCCGGCGGCGCCCCCGTCCCGTAACTTACTACACCCTCTCGACTCTCGACCATATTTTTGTTGTCAAACAACAGTATAACAGGTCATTCTCGTAGTCAGCCAGCGATATCAGGCGTGACTGTCCGAGATAACATTGATCTACGATCGTTTTTCTACTGTCTTTAGTTTTCGGAGGCTCTGTCCGCCTGTCCCTGCTAGAGCCTTAATGTCTCTCCCTCATTTTCACCCCTTCCCCACCCCGTCTGACCAACCACGGCTTTAAACACCCGTTCTATCGCTTTCTGAGGTCCTCACTCACTGACTTCCAAACCTGCCCCTGTTTTATTACCTAACATGTCAACGCAATCTTTTCACACTAGCCCTCCCCCTCCCCCCAGCTGATACTCTTGGGGTGGAGGTGGGGTGGAGGCCCGGCTGAGCCTGGCTGGGCGATGATTCCTAATCGTCGGCCTGACCTCCAGCCTCCTTCTAGCCACCTTGTTCCAGCCCCTTCCAAGGTCCCCCACCCCTCTCCGCCCTCCGACCCTCTCCACCCCCGGACTTCACCCTTTCGGGCTCAACAGGTGTCCCCGTCCCCAGGACTGCCGTCGCTCCCGTACTCCCGTGGGGCCTCGGCGAGGTCCCAGCCCAGTTTTTATTTACACATCTTTTTTACGCCCCCGTTGACATTGACAACCACTAGGATGCAGATTTCGCAGAAAGTTGTTGTCTTGGCTCAGGCCTCTGGCCGGTGTCAGCCAAAACGTGTTGGTTCGCCCACCCACGTGACGCAGTGCAGTTTTCGGCCACGATCGAGATGTGCAATAAATCCGATACATCCCCCCTCCCCCAAACTCGCGCCCTTTGTGCCTCTGACGACTCCCCCCCCCCTCTCATCAGTAATCTATTTACGTTGTAAAATTTTGACTCCCCGGTGCAAGCTTGTTGATGCCCCCCCCCCTTTTTCCTCCATCTATGATCATCGCCAGCTCCGACACAATCAATACGATGATCGTCAGTCTCTTCATTTTTTGTGCCGTGGTGCCTTATCCTTATCGGAGGCCAGACTCGACGCGCTTCATCGGCGACCCCCTTCCACCCTCCCCTAGTCCCGCCCATTATGTGTATTTCTTCGTTGCGCTCGACACCATCGTTTCTGTCTCTGTCTATCTCTCTGTCTCTTTCTCTGTCTCTCTCTCTCTCTCTCTCTGCCTCTCTCCCTCTCTCTCGCCCTCTCTCTCCCTCTCTGTCCCCCTCTCTGTCCCCCTCTCTGTCTCCCTCTGTCTCCCTCTCTGTCCCCCTCTCTGTCTCCCTCTCTCTCACACACACACACGCTTGCGCGCCCCCGTCACCTCCCCTTCTCTGCACTTGCCTGCTGTCTCGCTACATTGGATGGTCCGTCGGGCGGGGCGGCCGGAATATATGTTGGTCCCGGCCGTCGCTGTGTGTGTGTGTGTGTGTGTGTGTGATCGGGAGGAGAAATAACGCAAGAAGCAGTGAGAAACCCAGCGCCGCTGATAAGATATGATGTAGCCCCTCGCCCCGACTCGGTCCGAGTTCGTGACCCTTCTCCCCCTCGCCGCTGTGCGCCGCTGTGCGCCGCTGGGCCCGACCGCCTCTTCGCTGTGCCCCGCCGGGTCACATTTTAAGAGCCGCTGAGGGAAGCGGACCTGACAGCAGCTTGTGGGCCGAGTGACGTCCGTGGGCGGCTGTGGTGGTCTGAGCGCATAATAATTGTGGTCCCCGGTCCCTGTTCATGTTCAGTTCACCCCCGTTGTCCAGCGCCGGGACCAGGCACCTCGGTCCTGCCCGCCCCGCCCACCCCACAGCGGTGTCCTCCTCACGTGCGTGACGTCACGTGACGATACTCCCGGTGATATCGGTGTGATGTCACAGGAGCGATAGCCGCCGGCCTCGCCAAGGTGAAGGGCTGATACGGCGCGGGCGTGGCGGCGCGTGGCGGCGGGGTGAGGAGGAACGCCAGCCAGGCCAGGCACGCTTAGATATGCTATCGCCCTCCGCCACCCAGGAGGGGCAGGGGGCTGGGGGGTATTCTGCAGCATGCCATACTCGTCCACGGAAGTGCAACAAGTGCTACTAAATCGGTCCCATCTCTGGTCCCGTATCGGCGGGAGCGTGCCGCCGCGCAGCCGACCGAGCCCGGGGCCGCCGCGCCCAGAGGGTCTCGCGATATCTGTTCGGAGGCTGCCGACGGGACGCGACGGGCCCCTGTCCCTGTCACCCACCGCGGCCCGCCTGGGCTCCGGGCGCGACGGGCCCCTGTCACCAACCGCGGTCCCAGCCTGAGCCTCGGGCCCGCGGGGACCGCCCCTGCCTCGCCTCCCACGGCACTTGGCGGCCACGTGGTGCCGTGCGGCGGGGCGGCCGTGCTGGAGCTGCTCGCTGATTCCCCTCCCCCGCCCCCACTCGTCCCCCCTTTCTCGGTGGACCGGGGCAAACAGCTGGACTGCGACCTATAAAAGGGCTTTACGTGCCCCGGGTGTTTTTATGGGCCGTGCGCTGGTGCCTGGCGACAGGTACTTCCATGACCAGCGCAATGCTGCGCGAGTCGGGTCGGGCCGGGCCGGGCGCAACGTCCTGAGAGCCTCGGGGGTCCTGCAGCAGCGCGGAGTCCAACGCCATGTCCCCCACCCGGGCACCACCCCCAACTGTCTTCAAGTCCATATGGATGTGCGTACAAGTCCCTTCGATTACCCCTTTGCCCCCATGGAAAATGGGGGGGGGGGGCGTCGGTCTCCTCCCCCTACCGCCCGCTTCCGCGAAGTCGTTCGGCGACCCGACGACGCCTCGCCTCTTCCTGCGGCGGAGGCATACCCACCTACCGCCTCCCTGCTTTCATGGAGAGAGGGTCTCGAATCACTCAGATTCAAAAACCGTGCGGTACTTGCGGAACCGCCTTTTAGTTTCCGCTGGCCGTGTTCTCACGGCTCGTCGCCCCACCCCTTCCCCGTCGTGCCTTACGTGCGCGGCCGGCCTGGCCGTGCAGAGGTGGGAAGGGGGGGGGGCTCCTGTAACAATGCAGTCGTTATGCGTTACAGGCGTGACAGGCGGCGAGCCACCGGTATTGCCCACCAAGACCGACCCGGCCCCCGAGACCGAGCCCGCCCGGCCCGCGCGCACCGATACATACATTCCCACAAAATGTCATCGTATGAGCTCATTACTTCCATTTTGCTGGCTGTGGGTGAATGTATGTTGTTTGTATTGGGGGTCACATCGGCGGCTGCGGCGGAGGCCGCCGGCGGAGCGGACGTCGCGTCGTCGCTTTTCTTCTCGCCTCTCGCCGCCGAGCCAAGCCACACCCCGCCACGCCACGCCACGCCACGCCACGCCACGCCACGCCACGCCACGCCACGCCACAGTTGTTTGCGCTGCTGCGCTCTGGTCGAAAAATAAAACACCATTTGCCGGGGCGCAGGCAGAGGCAAAGGCGGGCTGCTCTCCGCGCAGGGGTCACCCCTTAGAGGGGTCACCCATGGCCATCCCCGTGGAGAGTTGGGCAACATGCAGGGGCACTAACAAATGTGCCTTTGTTGGTCTCGTCGATATACCAGGTGGCTGATTAACCCCGCGCACTTCTGAAGTTAGACTGTACCGCATGCACGAGTGCGGGCGGGTTGCCTACTTGCCCCTCGTAAGGCACAGCGTGGACAGGGGCGATGGGCAAGCCCGCCCGCAGTCCTGCGTGCGGTACAGTCTAACTAGAAGTGCGCGGGGTTAATCAGCAACCTGGTATTTTGCTC